GCAGAGGAGGTATGGGCCCCTCACTTCGGAGTTCATTCATGAACCTCTCTTGGGGTGCGCTCTGCCCAGGATGCTAGGTAAGGTTGATCTATACTCGCGGCGAGGATGCACCCACGGATCCTCAAAGCAAAGACACTTCGCAGTTTGGTCCCAGCCGCCAGCCCAAACGGCGAGGCAAAATCGGGCGTACTCCCGTGGAAATTGGAGACCAACTACTTTGGGCCGTAGGTTTATCAATCGGCTTCACCATGGGTTGTGCCATCGTTTGCGCTGCGCGTGTTGCGCCATAGGTTGCGGCATTAGTCGAGCCATAATTTCCGCAATGTGTTGCGCCATCAATCCATCAATGTGTAGCGCCGTGCGTTGCGCTTGTGGTTGCGCCATGCGCGTGTTTACGCCATGGCTGACTGAACCCGTGCATCCCTGGCGCACGCGCGGGCACAATGAATAAAACCAGTGCGGCGCAATATAGATGAATCAACATAAATGTACACACAAGGTTGTTTTGGCTCGATTCGCTTCGCCGTAGCAGTCTTGGTCGCATGGCGCCAGAGAGGCACGTCGCGACCGCTAGTCGCCAGCGCCGCGGTGCGCTTTGGCGCTGGTGCCTACGAAGCTCATGGGGTTGATGGAACTAATGGGACTCAGTGCATACTAGGGCTCACAGGACTCTCAAGCTCCATTTGGGCTCAGGGACTCGTAGATCGAACTCGGCCATGGGAGCCATAGAGCTGGCAAAACGCGTTGGGGTCATAGGGCTCCTGTGGCTCGCTGGCCCAACTGTGTTCTGGGCATCATAGCGTCGACGGGGTCGTGAGGTTAAGGCTCATACGGCTCATGCGCCGAATGGGGCTGGGACGGGTTCACGGGCGCGGCGGTTCTTGCGGGCTCTATGTAATAGATTCGTGAATCGTCCAGTCCAGGATGGCCGTAAGAGCCATGGGGTTGCTTGGAGCACCAAGCTTGTAGGGCTCATAGGGCTCGTAGGGATTGGGCGCCGACTTGGGCAGCAAGCCCCACGGGGCTCCATGCTGCTCACGGGGCAGCAGGGCCCACGGGGCCCGTTAGGGCCCATCGGGCTCACGCGGCTCAGGAGGCTTGCATAGAAGGAGGAACAACAAAACGCCACAAACACAAACTCGTGGCGCTCCGCGTGGATGTCTTGGATCTGCGTTGGACCCCCCTCCCTGGCGCGCGGAGCGCGCCAGGGGCGGCGCTGGAGGCGCCGCCAGGGGGGGGGGGGCGGGGGCCAGCGCGGATCCAAGAAATCAGCGCGGAGCGCCAAAAGTTTATGTTTATGGCATTTTCGGAGCGCCAAATGTTTGTGTGTATGGCGTTTGTTCTTCTTCGATTGTAGGGCAATGAGCCCAGGGGGGCTCGTAGGGCTCATAGGGGCTCACGGGGGCTCATACAGTGTCATGCAGCTCGTGGGGCCTATGGGGCTCGTATGTCGGGCATGTCCTCCTACCGGGGCATTCTGGACGAAAAAGATATAATCCCAGTGCGACCCTACCTAGGAGTTGGAGCCTCTAGGAAAGCAACCTTAGTAGAAGCGGCAAACGCCGTCCTCCTCCTTCTCCTCATCGTCATAGCAGCAGCAATAGTGGATGCTGTGCTGCGCTATGCTATGCTATGCTATGCTACGCTCTGCTCTGCTCTGCTATCCTATGCTATGTTATGCTATGCTATGATATGCTATGCTGCGCAGTGCTATGCTGGGCTAGGCTAGGCTATGCTATGCCTCGCTATGCAATGCTATGCTGCGCTATGCTATGCTATGATATGCTATGCTATGATATGCTATGCTATGCTATGCTTTTGCCTTTGCTTTGCCTTCGCTTTTGCCTTCACGTTTGCCTTTGCTTTTGCTTTTGCTTGGCACCCAGGGAGCGCAACTAGGGGAACCGCGCGTTTGCTTTTACCTTTGCTGTTGCCTTTGCTTGGCTCCCAGGGGACTGGGGGAACCGCCCGGGGCGGGGTGCACTGCCCGGCCCCTTTAAGCCAAGACAGTAAGAATCTTTCTAGGCAGAGCCTAGGTAGGGAGAAACATGAAAATGCTCCACAATGGCCAATAAATCCTCGAAACATCGTCCCCAGACTATTTCTTGATCAATTGCTGCGAACTCCTCCTGCAGAGTGGACGTGCCCGACTCAAGGCTCACAGGGCTCACACAGGGCCATGCGGCTCGCGGGGGCCCGCGGGGCCCGCGGGGCTCGGAGGGGCCACGGGGGGCTCCCGGGGCGCAGAGTGTGCCCAGAGGAAGGACCACGGGCCTCGCGACACGGGGGGGGGGGAGGGCACCGGGCACAGGAAGAAACGCAGGAAGGAGTACAAACAAAAACAACTAGAACGGGGAGGAGAGATGCTCTGAATAACGATCACAAGAAACAGCATACATGAGTTCAAGGACGATCACATAACAACATAAATGAGGGAAGGGGCACAGGAAGAAACGCAGGAAGGAGTACAAAAAAAACAACTAGAACGGGGAGGAGAGATGCTCTCAATAACGATCACAAAAAAAACAGCATACATGAGTGCAAGGACGTGATGTGAGAGGAGAAGGCCCGGAGAGGGGGAGAGAGATAGAGAGAGAGGGAGAGGGAGAGAACATAACTATTGTGGCGGAGGACCCGACCTGATGCAGTTGTGAGTTGTGAGTACCGCCGTGGTGGGTATCGCCTTCGGTGGATCTCCTCATGAGCCACGAAGCGTGTGAAGTGTGAATGTGTGTGTGTGTGCCGAAATGGGGCGGGGTCGCCATGCGGGCGCTGCCATTGGAGCCTGCACCGGAGCTCCCTGCAGAGCCAAAGCGTGTGAGGGGTGCCCCGAATCGGGTGTGGGTACGCCATGCGGATTGTGCCGATGGGGCCTTCGGTGGAGCTCCCCTTGGGGCCACGAAACGTGTAAGGGGTGTGCCGAATCGGGTCGGGGTGTGCCATGCGGACTGTGCCACTGGGGCCTCGGTGGAGCTTCCTCTTTGGGGCCACGAAGCGTGTATGGGGTGTGCCAAATCGGATGCGGGTACGCCATGCGGACTGTGCCACTGAAGCCTTCTGTGGAGCTCCATATGGGGCCAAAAGGCGTGTGCGGGGTGCGCCAAATCTGGTGCGGGTGCGCCATGCGGATTGTACCACTGGGGCATTATGCGGAGCTACCTAAGTATGTGGCCACCAAGCGTGTGAGGGATGTGCCAAAGCGGATGTGGGTGCGCCATGCGGACAACGTCACTGCGGCCTTCGGTGGAGCTCCCTATAGGGCCACGAAGCGTGTGAGGGGTGCGAAATCGGATCCTGGTGAGCCATGCGGACTGTGCCACTGGGCCTTCGGTGGAGCCCCCTATGGGGCCGCGAATCGTGTGAAAGGTGTGCCAGAGCGGATGCGGGTGCGCCATGCGGACTGTGCCACTGGGGCCTCTGGTGGAGCCCCCAAGAGGGTCACGAAAAGTGTGAGGGGTGTGCCAAATCGGGTGGGGGGCGCGCCAGGCTGACTGCGAAGCGATGCGGCAATTCGGATGCGGGTGCGCCATGCGGAATGCGCCACTGGGGCCTTCGGTGAAGCTCCCTATGGGGCCACGAAGCGTGTGAGGGTGTGCCACATCGGATGCGGGTGCGCCATGCGGACTGTGCCACTGGGGCCTTGGGTGGAGCTCCCTCCGAGGCCACGACACGTGTAAGGGGTGTGCCAAATCGGATGCGGGTGCGCCATGCGGACTGTGCCACTGGTGCCTTCTGTGGAAATTCCCATGGGGCCACGAAGCGTGTGAGGGGTGCGTCAAATCGCCAGGCGGACTGTGCCGCTGGAGCCTTCGGTGGAGGTTGTTTGGGGGCCACGAAACGTGTGAGGATTGCGCCAAATCGGGTGCGGGTACGCCATGCAGACTGTGCCCCTGGGGTCTGCGGTGGAGCTCCCTGTGGGGCCACGAAAGATGTGAGGGATGCGCCAAGTCGGGTGCGGGTACTCCATGTGGACTGTGCCACTGACGCCTTCGGTGGAGCTTCCTTCCTTTGGGGCCACGAAGCGTGTGAGGGAGGGGCCAAATCGGGTGCGGGTACGCCAGGCGGACTGTGCCACTGGGGCCTTCGGTGGAGCTTCCCCTTTGGGGCCACGAGACATGTGAGGGGTGTGACAAATCGGATGCGGGTGTGCCATGCGGGCTGTGCCACGGGGGCCTTCTCTGGAGCTACCCATGGGACCACGATGCGTGTGCGGGGTGCGCCAGAGCGGATGCGGGTGCGCGATGCGGACTGCGCCACTGCGGCCTTCGGTGGAGCTCCCTTTGGGGCCACGAAACGTGTGAAGGGTGTGCCAAATCGGATCCGGGTGCGCCAGGCGGACGATGCCACTGGGGCCTTCTGTGGAGTACGTATGGGGCCAAAAAGCGTGCGCGGAGAGTGCCAAGGCGGATGCGGGTGAGCAATGCTGTCTGCGCCACTGCAGCCTTCGGTTGAGCTCCCTATGGCGCCACGAAGCGTGTGAAGGGCGTGCCAAATCGGATCCGGGTGCGCCAGGCGGACGATGCCACTGGGGCCTTCTGTGGAGCTACGCATGGGGCCAAAAGGCGTGCGCGGAGAGTGCCCAGGCGGATGCGGGTGCGCGATGCCGACTGCGCCGCTGCGGCCTTCGGTGGAGCTCCCTAGGGGCGGCCACGAAGCGTGTGAGGGGCGTGCCCAAGCGGACTCGGGTGCGCCATGCGGACCGTGGCCACCGCTTCGCAGTGGCACTGCCCGGACCTCGGCTCCGGAGGCCCTGCGCCGTGCCGTGCCGTGTGGGCGTCGTGCTCCTCCGCCCGGACTCTCCGGGGCGGGATGGCAAGCACCGGGGTCGCGGGCTCGTCCCGTGGTGTTGGTGGCCGCTGGCGGCTGAGCATGGAGGAGGAGGAGGAGGAGGAGGAGGTGGAGGAGGAGGAGGAGGAGGAGGAGGAGCATGAGGAGGATGAGGAGGAGGAGGAGGAGGAGGAGGAGGAGGAGGAGGAGCTGTGCGGGGTTGTTTCCTCAGA